AGCTTGCATGGCCCAGTCTTCTGTGCCATAATTCAGCATCATCATCAACAGCCTTCAGACAACTCAGATCACCACTCTGTAAGGATTCAAAATCAGCAACATAGATGTTCTTGTATCTTTTGGCCACCAGTACTATTTCACCGGTCACAAGGTCAGTGACTGTACATATTTTGGACAAGAATTCCACCTTGTTTCCTTTATCACAGATTTGAGAAACACTCAGGAGACTGTACTTAAGCCCATTGACATAGTACACATTTTCAATAGAATGAGTGAGTGACTTCCCAACTTTTCCAACTCCAAGAATGTACCCCTTTTTTCCATTGCCAAAGGATACACTCCCTCCTTGCAGGGCTTTTAGTGAAATAAAGTCTGTGGTGTTCCCAGTCATGTGTTTTGAACACCCACTATCCATGAACCATTGTTGACCGCTTCCTTTCACTGTTCCCTACACAAGAGCTTAGGAGTTAGTTTTAGGAACCCAAACAAGTTTGGGTCCCTTGTAGTAAGCAAGAGGATGAATAAGAGCTCTCTTAGTCCATGCAGGTAATGTGCATTTTTTGTGAGTGGAACCTGGTCCCTCTTTTGTAGTCACTGTTTCAACAAACACTTTGTCTTTCTGAACTGATTGATTCTTGGCCAGGACACCTTCCTTGAAGCGCCCAGTGTTCCCACATCAGGTACGAGGCTAGTTCTCACAAATAGTGACGTACTTACTGTGAGGGTTTTGAGGAGTTTTCTCCCTTTGGAACCCTGCTCCCTGCCTTTTTCACAATCATTAGTAAGCAAGGCAGTGGTAGCTTCTGAGGACCAGGTCCACTTTAGGGACTTTTCAAGATCATTCTTTACTCTTTCTAGATTAGTTTGAAGAAGCTCGTTTTTCTCAGTTTCATCACACATCCTAAATCTCATAGCTTTCACCTCATTTTCAAGCCTAATGTGTTCCTCACTTGCTATCTCCTTTCCCTTTTCAGAACTTTCAGGTTTTGACTTAGTCCATGGTTTCACTATTGTTTCCCTTTGGTCTGCAATTTCTGCCAACAGATCACTCTTTTCTTTTCTGAGGATTTCAATGGTTTTCTTATGGTCAGTAACTACAGCCACTAAGTCGTCTCTAGTATGTTCAGGTTCTCCTAATTCTAAGATCAAAGAATCCCTATCCTCCATAAGACTATGAAAGGCAGTGATTAATACATCAGCTAAAGACATGAGTTTTTTTGGAGAATAGGATTTCAGATTTCTCTGAACATCCCTGAAATTACCTCTTTGTTGCCATTGTCTTCATCATCATCTGATTGAGCCATCAAAGCAAAAGTTGAGTCATATCCAATCTCCTCGCCTTCAACTGCCATCATGGAACTATCACCAGTATTAGGTTCATCTTCAGACTGTTTTACTTGTGTAGTTCCCTCATGAGCTGTTTGCAAAGCTTCCCATATCTCCTTGGCAGTGTCGCAGGTAGAGATTCTATTGTACTCTTTAGGTCCCATTCCACATACTAGAATTTTCTTGGCACGAAAGTTCTTCTCTACAGTTTTCTTGTCTGCTTCAGTGTATTCCTTGCTGGTTTTTGCCATTGAAAATGGAAATTCCTCTAGTACCTTGGTTGGAACATATGGACCATCGCAAATGATATCCCATAGCTCACAATCCTCAGCCATGATGAAATCGTCCATTCTAGCTTTCCACCACTACTAGCATTGTCCATTAAACTTGGGTGGTCAGTATATGGATTGACCTTCTTCAAAATTTGGTGGAGTTGCCATGAGGATCCTTCCTAGGTATTAGCCTGATAGGAGGAATCTGCTCTGATACCAATTGTTAGTTTGTATGAGTCCACCAAATCGTAGAGTACCTAGTCCTCTACAAGATTCTGCTGAGAATGCTAATAAAACAGTACGTAAATAAGGCAGAGGATTTTTACGTGGAAAAATCCCACACAAGGGGATAAAAAAACCACGACCTACACCTGTAGGCTTTTAACTTCACTAACTTGTAAACCCCTATTACAAGCCACTTTGCAATGACTCCTATTGCGAAGGATTTACTCAACTAACTTGTGGTACTCTTACCACAAGCCACTTTGTGACTTCCTAGTTACGAAGGCTTTTTCTAACTTGTGATGCTCTCACCACAAGCCACTTTGTAACTCTACAATTACAAAGACTTTTCCTTATGACTAAATCTAGTCACAACATAAACTCAAGGAGTTTACGGATTTACAAGAGGATTCCTAATCAAACGCTTCTAGGTAAGCAGTTTAGGAGATACAATAAGTACAATAACAAGGTTACAACTCAACTAGGACGACAACAGGCTATCTTTTAGGAACTGGTCCGTAGTTGCGTTCAACCTTGTTCTTCAAGCTTGTGAGGATTAATTTCTCTGTTTTTGCAAGAAGCTTGAATGAGAAACAAAAACCTTCAAGTGATGTTTTGTATAAAACTCATTGTAGGTACATCTTGATCACATCACTTGAAATGATGTGAGTACTTTATTTGGTTAGAGAATGAGTGAGCGCTGGAGACAGTGCAGTGCGGCAGAAACAGTGCCGCCAGTCACTTCATTTCCAGCTGTATCCAATTGACTTTGTACTGCTATGAGGAAACCACAAAAGTATCAGGTCCTTGTATGGGTTCCTTGCTCCTGAAGCTGTAGCAGTTCACCTTTAGCTGAAATCCGTTAAAGCTTGCAGTAGTCCAAGTAGGTCAGGTTCCCTATCTGGTTCTTAACTGTAAGTTTGTTAGATCATCAAAACATAAGGCAAGAATATTTAAAATCTATCATGGTAGAACTTGTTTCGTTGTATTTTATTGCTTTTTGTTAATTATGATATACATGTTTAGGTTAGATTATTATTTATTTGATTATTTGTTTCATAATTATTGCCCTTTTATAATTAGCAAATATTTCTAGAAGTTGAAGTTTGGTATCTTGGCATCATATTTGACATTAAATATATTCTCCGCATTAATTATTACTCGAATTCATATTATCATTGTTACATGGTGAGGAAGTGAGTAAAAGCACGAAGGGTGATGTCGTGCCTTTGCATTTACAATTATTATTATTACATGGTGAGGACGAGAGTAAAAGCACGACGGGTGATGTTGTCTCATTTATCTCATTTATTTATTATTACATAGTGAGGAAGAAAGTAAAAGCACAAAGGGTGATGACGTGCCATTCATCCCATTTATTCATTATTACATGGTAAGGATGAGAGTAAAAGCATGTAGGGTGATGTCGTGCCATTTTCATATCCTCGGTTTCACTGATTTACCGATTGGTGATTTACTTGGTTACTTCGTGATTTTATACCTATCGTAGTTATTATATTTTTTCCCTTCTTGCATGTCCCCTCCCGGGTTGTACGTTACCATTCTCTGTTATTATTGTTGCTTTATATATACTTGTACAAGTTTATTTACGTAGGTGTCCTGTCATAGCCTCGTCACTACCTCGTCGAGGTTAGGCTCGACACTTATGGAGTACATTGGGTCGGTTGTACTCATACTACATTTCTGCACTTCTTGTGCAGATACTAATATTGATCCCCGCGGTGTGTGAGGTGCGTCAGCTTGGATACGGTGGCTCGAGGTAGATCTACTGGCGTCCGCAGACTTTTATGTCCCCTTCCTTTTTCCACCTTTACTGTTCGTTTCCTTTGAAACGGTTGTATTTATTTCAGACTTTGTTTGTAGACTTCTAGTTGCTCATGTACTCGTGACTCCGATTTCTAGGAGTAGACATTATCATGTGACTTATATTGGTACCGTATCAGATTGAGTTTCTATTTATCGTTGTATATCATCATTATGATTTTAACTATTAAAAATTGGCTATTTAATTATCTCACATCGGCTTGCCTAGCAAGTGGATGTTTGGCGCCATCACGACCTCGAAATTGGGATTCCGGGTTGTGACATCGAAGCATGCGCAAGCCGGGTCGAAAACCATCGTTATATATATATAAAGAAATTATCTATATAATGCTAACGTGCTTCAGCCATTTTAAAGTAGGTTACTTCTTCCTTGACGAGTTGTCGTATGCTTCGTTGTGTGTCAACAACTACAAAAGAAATAAAGGTATATAAGATAGGCTTGACAATGAAATAGAAGTATATCCTATATTAAATAGCTTAATGAAATTAAATAGTATTTAGTGGCATTTTAATTATCATGCGTTTTCTCTTAAGCAACCACGAATATCGATTAAATAATATATCAAGCATTCAACAATTTTACGAAACCATATCTTATATGAGCTTATATACTTCTGATCTTCTTACCTTATTTTATGTGTGGTTGTACTAAACAAATTACGTATCATGCCTGACAAAAGAATTTAAATTTTATGCATTGATGTTGTAAAATATATTTATACTATTAGTGTAATTTCACCGATTATAATAGGTTAATTAGTAGCCATTTTACCAAATTGTCAATTAATATTTACAATGATCTGTTTATTTGTACGATGTTTTAGACTTGAATAAGTTACCAATTAAAGGTTGAGGAACATGGCGGATGGTGCTGCCAATCAAATTTAGGCAGGGCACAAGATCAATATGTTATATGTACATATCTTTAGTTTAAAACGATAAGATTTAAAGACTATTTTGTTTACGTTATACACACCTTGAGTTTAAGATTACAAGAGATTCAAAGGGTATTTTGATATATCATACACACGTTTAGTTCAAATAATAAGATTGCAGAATCTTCTTTACATTTTAAAATTTTGTGCCTACATAAAATGAAAATGAAACGAAGGAAGTACAATTTTTTTCGTAATATCGTGGTATACCGAATAAACGAAAAGAACAATGCATGTACTGAACCGTTTTTATTAGGGAGCGATTTACCATCCTCCCTCCAATGTGGGATTTTTTGATGTGAATTCGAATTTAATCGGGTCCCGATAAAAATATCAAACACCATATCATTAATAAAGTTGCTGAAGGGTCCGTCAGAGAGCAGCACTGACATTACTCCCACTATCTACAGTACCGTCTAAAAAATTTGCAATAATTATATATACCAACAAATAGGTTCAAATTATTAGTTGTTTGTGTTTGATTTCAGCAATGATCAAGAAAGCAGCCCTTGGAGTGGCCTTATTAGTGCTGCTTTTAGCTTTAGTCATTCGTCCCCCTTCTCCCAAAACTTGCAGCACAGCAGGTCTCCCATCCACCACATCAAGAATCAAGCTTAGAGATGGAAGGCATTTGGTGTACAAAGAATATGGTGTGCCCAAAAAATCTGCAAATTATAATGTCATATATGTTCATAGTCGTTTGGNATCAAGAATCAAGCTTAGAGATGGAAGGCATTTGGTGTACAAAGAATATGGTGTGCCCAAAAAATCTGCAAATTATAATGTCATATATGTTCATAGCTTTGGTGGCAGCAAATTCGAGGCTGCTCTTATAATTTCGGTACGTATACAACTTATTGAATTACTTCGTTTGGTATGATGGGAGTCATTTTAAAAAAAAAAAAAACTTTTTGGTGTTTGGAACATTTATTAAAGATTGACTGTTTATAATGAGTTTATCCGATATGGAAGAAGACCTATGTCAATATATAAATGCATTATATATTTAATCATGAAGACCATAGGGAGCGACCCCCACCATCATTGTATTAAAAACAAGTTAATTTTTTTTTTTAGAAAATAGAAAAATGCCCAAACACCATCGAAACGCCCTCGAAATGCCAAAAACTGACGTTGGTCATGGTATAACCGTGTGTATTGATCAGTAGGCCATTTTCGATAAATCCACTAAATTTCAGCTCAATCAAAGTCTGTCAACTTGTTGACCTCCAATTTCAAATTCAGCTAAAACTGACTACATCATCAGTTGTGAATGATGATCACTTCCGCCCAGAAGTTCCATGGAAGTCATCTCTCTCTTTTAGTAGAAAATATCATAAACAAACATTAGAAAATAATTTTCGGAAAAATATTTTCCGTCATACCAAAAACACCTTCTATCTTCTAGATTTTTCATGGCTTGAATATTGAAAAATTTTGGACTGAAATCAATTTTGTTTGTCACAGAAAGCTATTGAAGAATTAGGGGTATACTTGGTGTCCTTTGATAGACCTGGTTATGGTAAAAGTGATCCTCATCCAAAGAGAAGTTTTAAAAGTTTGGCTTTTGATATAGAAGAGGTTGCTGATCAATTGGAACTTGGAGATAAATTTTACGTTGTTGGGTTCGCCATGGGTGCTCACTTCGTTTGGGGCTGCCTTAAGTACATTCCTCAACGGTAACATCATAATTTTTTTATTACTAATATGTTGTTTTCTTGCTATACTTGTCAAAGTTTAAGATCTATGCATTGATGGTGAAAAAATATTTATTCAATATGAGTCACTTAGTAAATAATTACAAGTAATATCTTGATAAACATTAATTGATAATCTGGTAAACATTGTAACTAACCTGCTATTAATGGTGGAATCACCTTGGTTTAACAGTTGTTTATTGACATCTCTTTACCGAAAAATTATGATGTGTAGCTAGGTCATATATATATATATATATATATATATATATATATATGAATCTATTAGTTTATTCAAATTTTTATCTTTTATTTTTTTGACAACCTTTTGTGAAATTTCTAGCTTCGACATTATCTGCTAGCAAGAGTTAACTGATAATATGGAAGAATCTTTACATTGTCGGTATATATATAACATAAATCTCATTTATTATTGTTTTATAATTTCACAAGATTGTGGTTTTCTTTCTTCTGGTTAAGCTTATAATCTCATTTGTGCCTTTTTTTTTTTTTAATTCATAGCTTAGCTGGAGCTGCATTATTGGCTCCAGCAATCAATTATTGGTGGCCTGGATTTCCAGCAAACTTGACTAAACAAGCGTTAGATAAACAGTTACCCAGAGACCAATGGGTTTATCAAGTTGCGTACTATGCCCCTTGGCTTATGTATTGGTGGAACACTCAACAATGGTTTCCTGGCTTTAGTGTTATTACTGGAGAATTTAAATTGTCTCAAAAAGATCTCAAAATTGCCTCCTCACTTGATGAGATGCAACTTCAGCAGGTACATAATTAAATTATATATCCCCTTAATTATTTATTTATGTCCAATAATTTTTTTTCGGTACATACTCTATTAAGAGACCTTTTCAGAATTTTAAATTGATAGTTAATCTTTAAAATCCCTAGCACTAAGCTTATTGTACTTTTGAAATACCAGTTCAGAATATTGTTCGAACACTAAGGGGTCGTTTGCTACGAGGAATAAGGTGTGATAAGAATAAATTTTTACCGCCAATCAAATACGGTTTAAATTTAATCCCATACTTAATCAAGGAGATCCCATCTTATCCCACCTTATCCCATCAAACTTGGAATTATTTTATCCCACCTCTCATATGGGATAAATTAGTCGAGGGATTATAATTCCAGGATAATTTAGTCTCCGTACCAAACGACCCCTTAGGCTACATTCGCCAGTGACTCCACTCTCGAACTAGCAGCGTTCATGCCAGGCAACGGTGGCGGAGCCACATTGAACTAAGAGGTGTTAAGTAACACCCCTTCGCCGGAAAATTACACTATATTTCTAGATAATTTTTTTTATTTTATGTATATTTACTATACGTTAACTCCCCTTGACTTTTCGATGTATCTAATTATTTATTTTTTGCTAAGGGGCGTGATATAGACAGTCTACCCCAACACAAATATTAGTGGTTGCTTCCCCGTCTCTGGTACCATAATGTGTTGCTTTTTTTTTTTTTTTTTTAATATAGTTTTCTAACTAGAGATATTCATATGTAGGCATATGTTACACAACAAGGAGATTTTGAGTCCCTGCACCGGGACTTGATTATTGGTTTTGGTAAACCCGAATTTGATCCGATGGATATGAAAAACCCATTCCCTAACAACGAAAGCTCTGCACATCTATGGCATGGTGTTGAAGATGGGATTGTGTCTGTTAATCTGCAACGTTTCATCGCGAAAAAACTTCCATGGATAAAGTATCACGAGCTATCAGATGCTGGACACTTATTCCCTTGTGGTGAAGATAGTGTAAAAGATGTTATATGGAAGGCTCTTTTGAGTGAGAAAATTTAATTGATTTTTACAAATTGAAAATTGTTAAGGTTATGATTGTAATAAGGAGGATCCAGGATCTTTTAATAATTATATAAATAGTATAAAAGGTCCATTACCTGTGCATATAAGTTAAAGATACTTTTTTCTTCCTATACCATATATGAAATCTTATTACCAAAAATGTGCATAGTTGCATATTTACCCGCCATGTTCACAGTTTTTCTACAATTATTATACCATTCATTAAATACTAATTATTAGGAGCTGATTCCTTCCTAATTAGGCGCGCTACAAATCAGGAACAGAATATTCTAATTGATTTAGCGACCTTCAGATCAAATTTGAAATGCAAATCCTATATCTTCAATTTAAAATCAAATTACATAGACTCTTTTCTGCAAAAACTCTGTTCTTCGATATTTTTCCTTAAACCACAAATCAAAAAAAAAAACAAAATCGTCAACAAATTCGAATCCAATTGTAGAAATCAGTTCTGCAAAAGCTCAGTTCGTCGACATTCTATCTACATCTCTCTCTATTTCTCAATCGCAAATTTCAGTAATACAAAGCAAATGAAAAGAGAGCAGCAATTCCACCATTGACAGCCATTAAAAAGCTTGAAAGCTTTGAATCCAAATTTGGGTTTTCAAAAATCATTATTTGTTTGGATTGGGTGTTGTTGAAAATAATCGGGAATATGGTTTGGAGTTTATATCTTAATTTTGAGGGGTTTTGGTGAAGATTAGACTTGGTTTTGACTGAATTTCAGATTGAAACTCGAAGAAGAAGAAGAAGACATATTGCAGAAATTGTAGATAAATTATAGATAAATTGTAGATTATTTGTATTCTGATTGTAGATGCTTTATTTTCTGTTTACACAAATAAAAAACGGCTAAAACTTCTACAAATTTTCTGAAAAAATGCAATTATGTCAAAAATCCCAATTATGCTACAATTGAATGGGAATTGGGATATAAAGATTCAATGTACCCAGTTTGTAGATATTTTGTAGATAAATTGTAGATTATTTATATTTTAATTGTAGATGCTTTGTTTTCTGTTTTCACAAATCAAAAACGACTAAAAATTCTACAAATATTCTGCAAAAAATGCAATTGTGTCGAAAATCCCAATTAAACTACAATTGAATGGGAATTGTGATATTAAAATTCAATGTACCCAGTTTGTAGATATTTTGTAGATAAATTATAGATTATTTGTATCCTGATTGTAGATGCTTTGTTTTCTGTTTTCACAAATAAAAAACAACTAAAACTTCTACACTAATTACTTGATCGCGTAAAGAAATTAGACACGTATGCCATTCATTATTCTTTTCGAAATCCATTTTGAAGATACGAATTACCTAATTTATTTTTGAAGATCATTAAGCTCGACCAGTTACTTGATATCGTTTTCTGCAAATTTCTGTTAGGTACGTACTTTACCGAACTAGCCCTGCCATACCTATTGGCTATTGCCAACTAATGGAAAAAGGGAACAAAAGAAGCTTTGATGTTACATTTTACTTTGTTTCGCAGCCACTAATACTGCAGTATCACTAAGTATCTCAAACATATAAAACATCCAGAGAAATGTGAGGGCCCATCATCTCAGAAGAGGTATGCAATTCCAACTTCCTTTTGCCTGTTTACAAGAAGAAAATGGATTACTTCATTTCGCAGCCACTAATACCTCATAATGTTGCGACATTATGAGGGAACATAAGTACCAAAGAATTATGTTATCAGGTCTTCCCAGAGGCTCAAAACGTGGGTGAGGGTGAGGGTTTGGGAGAGAGAAACGTGGGAGGGGTAGGATATACGGTACCTTGAATTAAGGAGGGATATACGCTGCATTAATTGTACCCTTAAAATACACTATGGTATAGAATTGGTAATTTGGTATACTAAGTGTAATTAAGTCAAACCTTAAACATTAAGGGTAATAAGGTTTCCTATATTGCATAGGAATGTAAAAATTCCTTAATATAAAGGGAAAATTTCACATTAAAACAATTGGGCTCCCTACTTTTTAATCTTATAGCCCATATTTCAATTTACAACCAACTAGCCCAAAAATAATAGGTTAAGATTCAACATCCAACTCTAATAGGTTCTCAAAATTACTATTTAATTTTTAAAAAAGATTCCTCAAGCTTTTAAGTTAATTTTCGAATCAGTAACTGTGACCCAAATATTAGTTCAACAAACCAAATTCATTTGGGTGGTGAAAATTAAATTTTTAACAAGCTTAAATATGTGGGTTTAAATTCTGAATTTGATTTTTTGAGAAATTTGGAGAGGGTTTTATTTAGACTTGTTAGAAATAGTATAAGGAGGTTGTATATAAAATTTAAAGTCATTTAATGGAGATTTGGACTGGTTTTGAACAAGAATTGCGACTGAAAATCGTGGAAGAAGTTCGTCTACAGACGCTTGTATAAAGGTGTATAAAAGTGTATAATAGCGTATAAGCTGTATTTCTACACTCATATACACTATTATACAAGATTATACATAATTATACAAAAAAAAAACTAACTTCGTCTTCTTCCTTGCGTCTTTTCTGAAATTTAACTCAAATCTACTCCAAATCACTTCAAATTTAAATTTTGAACTCCTTTTGATATTTTCAATCAATTGGAACAATACCCAATCCAAACAACTAACAAATTCAAAAAAATCCATTTTCGAAAGCAAAGCTTTGAATGGTCTTCAATGGTGGACTTCTACTCTTCAATTTTCTTACATTGCAACTAGGTGACACAAGAGGGGAAGCAGAAAATACACGGCCCCTTGAAGCATATGTAGAAGATGTGAGAAGAAGAGAGAGTGAAAGCAATGGTTGTGAGAACAAAGATTTAACTACATAGCTTTTAGAAGCAATATTGGAAGAACACAGATTTTGAATTTGCTAGTGCTTTCAAAATATGTACAATGTGGCTAGGTCGGGTAAAACTTAAAAACATGGGCCATTTTTTGTTATGGTGTGAAGTCATGTGTATTTTCTTGTAATTCTTTCTAATATTATAAACTACTACTCCTTCTGTTTCAAATTAGATGAGGTATTTTTCCTTTTAGTCTGTTCCAAAGCAAATGACACATTTCTAAATTTGGAAATAATTCAACTTTAAACTCTTCATTTTACCCTTAATGAGAAGCTTTTATAATCACACAAATGTCATGGCCCTGTGAGCACGTAATTTTTGCCCGATATAAAATACTCCTACAAAATTCACAAAATAGATTTGTTTTAATTATCTTAATTTTTATAGAATTTTCATAAATTTCTTGTTAATTGTTGTTTGCATTTAGTTGCATATTCAATATCTTAAAATCATAGAAAATACCAAAAAATGGTCAACATTTCATTGCATCGCATTTCTAGATCTTAATTGCATTTAGGATTAAATACATGAGCTAATTGCATAATTAAATAAAAATAAAAAAATTGGTCATTTTTACATATTTAGCTTTTAGCTTTAAAATTAGTATTTTTCTTTAATTAGTTTTATGTTAGAAATATATAATTAATTCAATTATACAAATTAGATTTGATTTAGGACTTAATCTAGTTTTTTAATTAATTTTATTAGGATATAAAATCAAGAAAAAAAAGGAAAGACTCATTGCTTGAATTCCAAATCAACTGGGCCAAATTTCAAAATGGCCCAGTCTTCCTTAGTCGCCCCAAGCCCAGACATCCCAAAAAATCGTCAAAATTGTATGGTGTAGCCAGTTTTTCGGTTGGCTATTGAAAAATAGCCACCAATCTAAATGTAATCGATTTCTAGCCATTTTAACTTAAAATATATGGTAAAATGACATAACTGCCCTTGACCTTTTTAACATACTGTTTAGTAACTTTTTATCGCCTTTCTCTTTGTTTTATAGCATTGTACGGATTTAGCTTTCCTGAGAAAGCACTTTTCTTCGAATCTTGTCTGGGTTATGTCCAATTTTCTTCAAAATTATGGGTGAGTTTTGAATTTTTACGATAATGTGTTTGAATTTTCGTTATTATTGTTGGTTGTTTAGGTTTAATTTTCGTTATTATTGTTGATTTCAGTACCGTTAGGGTTTAAATATTTGTTCTATTTTAACTTTTACGATTTTTCTCTGTTCATTAGTTTGTCTTATTTCTGGTAATTTTTTCAATCTAGTAATTTCTTTTTCAAATTTTTTCTAGTCTCTATATATTAGGTTTAATTTTCAAGTATTTTCTTGTTTCATTTGTATTTTAGATTTCTTCAGTTCTTGTCAAATTTTGATATAGTTGAGTTTTGTTTTATTCCATTATATTTTACGGGACATCTGCTGTGTGCGAATAGTAGACGTCTACTGTGTGGGTTTTGATTATATTTTTTGTTTATTAAATTTAGTAAAATTTTGTTCAGTATATTATACTGGAAGTCTGTCTTGTGTATGTTTATCTTCCAGCATGTTATACTGGATGAATATTATAATATAGTTGAGTTTTGTTTCATCCCATTATATTTTACTGGACGTCTGTTGTGTGCGAATAGTAGACGTCTGTTGTGTGTGTTTTGATTATGTTTTTTGTATATTAAATTTAATAAAATTTTGTCCAGTATATTATACTGGAAGTCTGTCTTGTGAATCTTTATCTTCCAGTATGTTATACTGGATGAATATTATAATATAGTTGAGTTTTGTTTCATTCCATTATATTTTACGAGACGTCTGCTGTGTGCGAATAGTAGACGTCAACTATGTGGGTTTTGATTATGTTTTTTGTTTATTAAATTTAGTAAAATTTTGTGCAGTATATTATACTGGGAGTTTGTCTTGTGTATGTTTATCTTCCAGTATGTTACACTGGATGAATATTATAATATAGTTNCAAGCAGAAGATAAATTGGCACCCAAAGCGCATACTTTGTCAGGATTTGACAATTCTAGTGTTGTGACAAAAGGGGAAGTGATGCTTACTACGTAGGCAGAAGGCGTGGTCAAAGATACAAAGTTTCAAGTAGTGGAGATGGAAATGGCTTACAACATAATTCTCGGGAGGCCATGGATTCACGATATGGATGTTGTTCCATCAACCTTGCATCAAGTCATTAAATTTCCAGCGCCATGGGGAATATGCCAAA